CGGATGTGCTTTTGTGGGCTGGTTTATTGTGGGCGTGGCAAGCGCGGATGTGCTTTTGTGGGCTGGTGGTTTATTGTGGGCGTGGCAAGCGCGGATGTGCTTTTGTGGGCTGGTTTATTGTGGGTGTGGCAAGCGCGGATGTGCTTTTGTGGGCTGGTGGTTTATTGTGGGCGTCGCAAGCGCGGATGTGCACACGTAGTCAGGAGTCCAGAGCTTGCTACTTTTTTGTGTGCTTTTTGAGGGCTGGTTTCTTGTGGGATTTCTAACTCCTGTGTGGCTGGCGGGAAGTTGCATGGAGCAGGATTAAAGTTATTAAATCACCACTACCCCTATCCGGGGCAACGTCAAGAATTCAAAATGTAATATTCTGGGTTCTTTGGATGAACAGTGCGATCGGACCGCTTCAGTGGCTGGCGGCGCCAGCTGAAATAGGTGAAAAAAAAAAAAAAAAAAAAAAAAATCATGCTGGAGCTTTGGCAAAGCTTGGCACGCAAGGAGAATCTGCCTCGGCAAAAAGAGAGTCGGAGGTAGTGGTGGTGGTTTAAGTGAATGTACAAGATGAGGAGAGGAGACTGTCACATTGTCAATGCTTGTGTTACCTGGTAGCTGAAGGGAGAAGGATTATGTGGATGTGGAAGATGAGGAGAGGAGAGGAGAGGAGAGGAGAGCATGTGGAAAGAACTGATAGAAATGAAGTCTGGAGGTGTGCAGAGTCCTCCTCTAAGAAAAGGAAGTTAAGGTGAAATACTAGAGTCAGTTTCGTGAAGCGAAGAAAAGCGGGTTATTGTGAGGTGGAGGCTTCGTGAGTCAGGTCGAAGATTATCGAGTTTGGAAGGAGCATTCCCACATGGTTTTTTTATCAGAGGAGGTGGGAGAAGGTATTTTCTCAAAGGGGCAACTGCCTATTTCATTGTCCTTTAGTAAAGGGTATTATACCGACCACTGAGAGGGATAACTCTTCCTGACTCCCCTATCTTTTTTTTTAAACGGCCTACTCTTGAGATTAGGAGAGGGTAGCAGTCTCAATGCCCTTGTAATCTGTGGTGATGACTGTAGAACTTCCGCATGACTTCAGGTCAGCTCTCAAACTCGCTCATCATCAGTAGTCTCAGTAGCTGAGTTCCTTCTGCCGCTGCTGTTGTTGTTGTCGTTGTTGCTTCTGCTGCTGCTGCTGCTGCTGTTGTTGCTGCTTCTGCTGCTGCTGCTGTTGTTGTCATTGTTTTTGTTGTCGTTGTCATCGTTATTGTCGTTGTTTTTGTCATGGTTGTCATTGTTTACGTGTTGTTGCTCTTGTCGTTGTCAGCATTGTTGTCGTTGTTGTAGTTTTTTTTTTTCCGTGTCATTTTTTTTTTTTTAGTGGTGGTGGTGAACACTGTTATTGTTGTTGTTGTTGTTGTTGTTGTTGTTGTCGTCGTCGTCACCACCACTGTTCTGTTATTTATGTTGTTGTTATGGCAGTCGTGATGATGGTGGTGACGGTGGTGAACGCCATTTTTCTTCTTGTTGTTGTGGTGGTGGTCGTGAATGCTGTTATTGTTGTTGTTGTTGTTTTGTTCTTATCTGCCATTGTTTTGTTGTGTTTTTGTTGTTGTTGTTGTTGTGGTGGTGGTGGTAGTGGTGGTGGTGGTGGTGGTGGTCGTCGTCGTGGTCGTCATTGTCATTGTCATTGTCATCACCGCCATCATTATTGTGGTGGTCGATGGTGGTCATCATCATCATTGTCATCATCGTTGCCATTGTCGTTGTTATTGTTGTTGTCTCCACCGTTGTTTTTGTTGTTGTTGTCATCGTCAGTCCTTTTTCAATTGTTGTTCTTATGGTGTGTACGCCACACAGTGGGAAGTTTTGGTCATCCCGAATCGTTGCGTACAGAAGATATGGTGGTTGTGGTGGCGTTCTTGTGCCCCCACCACGAGAAATGAATGCATTGGAATTTGGATGTTGCTGTTATTGGCAGCTGAGATGCTGCAGAGCTGACAATATTTGCTGTATACAGTGTATAGTCATTTAGTCGTTTTCTCAAAGGAGGCAGGTTTTTCCGGCTGGTGTGAAACGGTAGACGTTTATTACTTGGCGAGTGGTTTCAATGAGCCTCATTGCCTGTGAGTATGGGCAACAACTTCGTTTTTTTTTTTTTCTGTTTTGTTTTGTGTTTTTTTTTTGGGGGGGGGGGGGGGGGATAGCAATCTTGGCATTTAGCAAAGGCATCAAGGAAGAAGAAACTATTGTGAGAAGTTTTGTTGGCAGCTTGGTAATCTATAGCTTGTCAAGTGCTCTTTTTTTTTTCTTTTTTTTTCTTTTTTTTCAAGTCAATCCAGCCGTCAAAATCAGAAGCTTGTCAAGTACTGACTATAGGATACTTGTGAAAGAGCTGGCTATAGATTTTCTATAGTACTGTTCCTGGTCAGGATTCGAGCTTCGTGCACACTCTTTAGGCAAATCTTTCATCAACTTCTTTTTTTCTTTCATCAACTTCTTTTTTTCTTTCGTCAACTTCTTTTTTTCTTTCATCAACTTCTAATAGAGAAGGGGAAGTAAGTCACACTAGTGTGGAAGTGATCGAGTAGGAGGAGAGGGGAACCTGTATGCAGAATGGATAGTGGCTGATGAAATTTGTGAATGCAGATGATTGCCAGCAATGTTTTGCTCTTCGTTCTGGTCTTGTCGATACCAATCAGTCTCTTCCTTGTACAGGATGTGTCATAAATAGTGTAGAACATACTACATAGTAGTCGAGGTTATAAACTGCTCTATGGGCTGCCCTCGTCACCCGAATAGCATATTATACGGTCATTACAGCTGCATTTGGGGCAATTTTTTGGTCTAGATATTGCCACAATGACGGTACGTTCTGTTCGGGCGAAGACAGTAGTCATTTGTGGAGTGGGAAGTATGGTGTTTATGATTCTGTCAGTGTCAATACCAACTCAAGCACATGAAGTGGTTAGAAGATTGGCACTAGTAGACGGTTGTAATCTTGGAATATTGATTTTGTTGGCAATGCACTGCGTTGGCTAAGGGGAAGGGGGATAAGGAGGGGGAAAAGAGGAAGTTTGCATCCTTTTCTCTTGCGTAGGTAACCTGTTAATATTGGAAAGATGGAAAGACAAGATGGAAGTAGCATCAGATACATGAAGAAGGGGTATCCACTGTCCAGGCATGCAATGCGGCACTGCTATGCGTATTTTTTCTCAGACCACTGCACAGCTGCCGCCATGCGATGGCAGATTCTTTCCCACAGACAAGAAACCATCCTGCGAAACCACAGCCAAGGGACCAGGCTCGGAAGAGTCAGCGGAGAATGAAGACCCTGTCGAGCTTGACTCTAGGTCGAATCGGAGTCTGTGAAATGACTTGAGAGGCTTAGAATAAGTGGGATATTTACAGCGCAAGTGAAATATCACTAAGAAGGGGGGGTGGGGAGATCAGAAGGCATACCAGGTGCTATTTGCCTTGTTGCTGCCACCAAGGAAGAAACATCTGCTGCTGCAGTGGCAGGAAGAGGGGGAGGAGAAGAAGAAGAAGCAGGAACCAGGTGATCTTGTGCGGCTTTGCTCGCAAAAAAAGGCGGGAGTTGGGAAACTGCAGAAGTGACGAGAATGCATATCAGGAAGAGAAACATATCGGCATTGTCATTGCTGCTTCTGCTGCCACCAAGGAAGAAGCAGGTGCTGCTGTTAAGAACAGGCAGCAGTAGCAGGAAGACGAGCACAAGGAGGAGGAGAAGGAGGAGGAAGAGGGGAAGAAGGTGACAAGGAGTGGAATAAGAAGCAGGATCCACATGACCTGTTGCGGCTTCGCTCAGAGAAGAAGTTTGGGCGGGCCAGACACAGAAGGCATACGGGGAAGAGAAACAGAGTGCTATTCCCATTGCTGCTGCTACTGGTGAAGGAACATCTGCTGATGCTCAGCGACAGGAGGAGACGAGGACGAGGACGAGGACGAGGACGAGGGCGAGGACGAGAACGAGGACGGGAACGAGGAGGAGCACGAGGAAGAGGAGGAGGAGGAGGAGGAGGAGGAGGAGGAGGAGGTGAGGGAGAAGCAGACGTGACCGGTTGCGGCTTTGCTCAAATAAAAAGACAGGGTAGGGAGGACACAGAGAGTTTGACAGTTACCAGGCCTCTGATCAGCACACGGAAACAGCTGCAAAGAATCTACAGCAACGCCCCTCCGACTATTCGCCCACCCTTTAATTCACCCTCCTTGGCATCTTGTTAACACTTTGCCCCACTCTCCCAAGCCACGCAAGATGCTTACCCTCCTCCCTTGATGTGTGCAGATCTTCTTGCATGCCTCCTCCACACTTGCCCTCTTCCCCTGACACATGATATCTTGTGATCCTCGGCAAAAAGCGCCTTCCTTTTCTCACAAAAAACAAGATGAAAAAAGAAAATAAACGAAACCATGGACTTGATTTCGACAGAGAGGCACGGCGAGTTTGCCGCGGCCCT